AAATTATAATTCAACCTTTAAAATGAAATAGTAAAATGCTATTTCTAATTATTAATAAGAAATCTACATTAAATCAAAATCGTCCCCACTTATTTCTGATCATGTTGTATTTTATGATTTAAATGTGACTAAGATTTGTATTAAAAACATAAATTTATTTTCAATAATAATATGAATATTTAAACAGCAAAATAATATTCAAATGATTCATATACTACACGATTTTTAAACATACAATAAAAATATTTAAGTAAGTAAGTAATAGTCATATACTAGTATGAATAATTAAGTAATATTCATGGCTATTTCACTAAATGCTACTTTAATCTTTAATGTAATCTAGAAACTTTAAAATACTAGTGTTGTGTGTACTCTGTTTAAATGGCAAATGCATATATCACTAGTTGGTTCCTATAAAACCATATCTGTACGTCTAAGATCTAATGTATTCACCTATATTTAAAAATTATTATTATGCACACACTTTTTACCAGTACAATATTTATATATTTTTGCAATTAAAGTGTGCAACATTAAAATCTATGGTTTATATAATTTTAATATATAGTTTTCAATTCTTATATTACTAATAGAATTGTATTTATATCATAATCAAATAAATGTCATAAATTTATAAAACACTCAATTATGTTGGGCACACCTACGGGAACGGTAGCCAAACTTACGGCAATCGGTATAGGATTGCCACCGGATGATCTTGCTCAGATATATTCTCACGTCAACTCGTTCGTGTAAATTGCATTTAAACTGCAAACACATAATAATTCAAAAACAAACTAGGTACATAAATTTAAAAATAAATAACAATACCAAAGGTGCATGCTTATAGCAATCATACGACTCCCAACTGGCGCAACACCTTTCCCGTGAATTAGGTGTGGCCAGCGGTCCACTCCATAAGGCCTTCCCTTTGAGCGGTATACCCCAGCGCCGGTATGCGGAAGTCATACATTTCGTGGCCGGTCTCCATGTCTTTTCAAAACACGTATTAACCAATGGAGTCAACGCGGGTTTACAGAGCCGACACCCCGCGGGAACCCGATTTGCCAACACTAGTGTAGTTAATAAACATATAGTGATTAATTTGTTCATGATGGTTAGTAAAACAAAATTTACAACATTTTTAAATACGCATAATTAATTTTGTTACTAGAAATTTATAAAAATAATGATTATACATGTATATATTTTATGCAATATGTTATGATAAAATTAAAATAGATTGCGATTTCAATACATATTAGTGATAATGTAATGATTTATTTATTAAATATTTTGAAAAATATTTTTTTAATGAATTACTGCATTGTTTAGAGTTTTATGATAAGTTGAAATAATTTATTAGTCTATTAGCTAATAGAGCTAAATGTTTATATGATTATAAAGGGTATAAATATAGTATATTATGTAATATATTTTAAGTTTTTATTTGCATATACTGTACTAGTATTATGAAATATTTAATACTTATATTTATTAACTTATAAGTAAAATATTTATATACAAAATATACATTTAAGCAAACTGTTCATTAAAGTTATAATATAGTATTTTTATAAGTTATATACTGTATAGGATTTAGCATTAAATATATTTTTAGTATAAAAACCTTGTTTTTTGTTTTGTTTATTTTTTACTATGTTATTGAGAGAGAGAGAGAGAGAGAGAGAGAGATCTTAAACTTATAAAACATAAGATAATAACAAATAAATAACAACAAAAATGAATGTCAATAAAAAGCTTTTAGCTTATGCTTAGGGATTTGAAATGAACATAAGTTAATGCAACAAATAAATCACCATGGGACTAGCACAAAAAGCAATACCATTACATATAAACAAATAATATTTCTTAATTTCTTATTTCTATTTCACTATCTCATAATTTGTAAGACTATTACCTGGATTATAAATATGTAAGATGTTTATAATGTATTTAAGACTAAAGTATTATTTCAAAGAAATTGTTATATATTTCTAAATACAATTACAATTTGGACAATTGCTATAAAATATCATTGCAAACACTATAATATTGTTACTGTTTAGATCAGTAAGTTTCAAAAATAGGTAGCATTCACATTTAGTAATGTTATAAGTATTACTATTTGTAATAATTTGTAATACATGGAACTCAATGGTTTAGATGATAAATAAGTAAACTGAGTTAGATCAAATTAAATAATATTAATAACATTTACAGCAAACTATGTCCGAAGAGATTGCTTTAACTCCTATGACCAAGCCACCTAGTATCATTGTTACGGCCAATAATGATCTGGCTAATGAGTCAAACACGGCAAAGACCTGGATACAACTTGGGGTCAAGTATCTGGTGGTGATTGTGTGCACCGTCGGCCTAACTGTAAACATATGTCAAGTCACCTATAATTATGCGAAACATCAAACTCTGCTAAACATACGACTCGACTCTCAAGTGTATCAACACATACCCTCTCTCACCGTATTCTACCCCGTCCTCGTAGATATGCAACGTATGGCCGGTAAACACCCCTATTTGCTGTCAACATATCAAGAATATTCTCGAATAATACAGAATATGACTGAAAGTGACTATAAAAATGATACTCTGCTTAGTATGCTATATCATAAATTTTATTTGCCCTTTGTAAGTTATAATAATAGCGATTTATTGTCGACTAGTATGCGATATGAAAAGGGTAATTTTAATGGTGAGCATATTTATCCAGTTGATGTAGTATTTAACGGGTTAAGTGTCGATGATCAAGGTAATATAGATCGTGTTACTATGATTGACCGTGAACCAATTGAGTCTTTGGTATTCATAAATAATGTCACATATCACAAATGCTATACATTTTTTAATCATGTCAATAAAAAGTGGCGTAATTATAAGCTAGATATAAAAGATATCGATGTTAGCATCAGGGTAAATAATGCTTGGTACCCACCTGTATCCCAAAATAGTCCGTTAAGTACCATTATGTTTGCCATACATTCCCCTAATACTATACCCCAACGACT